GTCATCGAGTCGACTCGAGTTGCTATTTTCAGCGACTCGACTCGAGTCCAAAACGAAAAATGACTCGACTCGACTCGAGTCAACAGCCCCAAATTACTCGACTCGGACTCGACTTGCTGATTTTGCCGTAAATGACTCGAGTCAACTCAGCTACAACTTGTAGAGAATAAATTCATCAAAAATATTGCGATTGTATTGCTTGGGAAGAACAATGAGCCCTGTGAACAATGAGAACTTCGAAACTTTATCAGAAAATATATGGGATTTGCATAGAATACAGTATATTCCTGACGGGCATGCCTATATTACATTTCTGTTTTTAGAAACAACGCTAGTGCCACAGTTTTTAAAATGGAGTCTCAAAATTTTTTGTACTTATGCTAATTCTGAGCGGCTATCTTCATTTTTGGTATTTATGAAGTGCTATATAATTTCAAATTAACTTACAAAGCATGGTTAATTAAAGTCTATTCTTTGTTAATTCTGACTCCAGTTGCGAGTTATGCTAGTTGTACATACGTACACTCGATCAGCAGGCATGATGAGACATCTCATGTGGTTGTACTTAATATTGACTAGAACTGTGATATTGGTACAGCCTATGGCTGCCCAGATACTGTTATTACATGACTAAAGTGATTAGCTTAAAACGTAGGATTTGATTACTAATTTCAAACTGCAAGCTATGGTAGCGAACCATTACAAAAAGCGTGAGGTGGACCATTCTCGTCCCCAGAGCCATTTTCAATCGGCAACTCGTTGAAAAGTAGGTTGTGGGTTAGGCGACTAAAGCGAGAGATCTGATTGGCTTCTCAGAGAAATCCTATTTCGCAGAAGTTGAGCAATTTTAGCTAGGAAAAATTATTCTATCAACATATGTCAACGCAAATACATCGTTTCTTCGTAATACTTCACTTTGAAAATTGTTACGGGTGCTAAAGTGTCCCAATTCAAGACCATGCGCTTTAGAAACTACTGCAAGTTTACTTGCACTTCCGGTTCCGTATGTTCCAGGGCCTAGGGAGGACGCGCGCGGCCGAGAGGCCCTGGGGACAAGGATGGGGTGGACTTGATCAAATTCCCTGACTCAAGTTAAGTCTAGTTATTGATTCGACTCGACTTAAACCAATGATTCGACTTGACTCGAGTGAAACTGCTAAGGGGCCATTCACAAAGGATGTCCGAGCCAAGGAGGGAGAGGGGGGTTTGGAAAATCAGGACAAACTCGGACATAAGGGGGGAGGGGGGGTTTTAGCAATCCGGATGTCCGAAATTTTAAAAAATTCAAAAACAAATTTCTTTTTCCCTCTATTTTGAGCAGTCCTTCTCATTGTGAAATTGGCATTTTGACTCTGCGGTTAACACTAGATTTTGTTTTAATTAGTAATTTATATGTTTTTGTATTCACATTTATAGTTATAAAAAAGTTCTAAAAGTAAAAAAAAGTTTTTTACTTTTGACATATACAAGGTTGTGTGAGTTTTTGCGACGCATGGTGGATGTCCGGGGGGAGGGGGGGGGGGCACTAATTCGGATAATGCCGGACAAGGGGGGGGGGTCTGAAAATCCATCATTTGGCCGGACATCCTTTGTGAATGGCCCCTAAGATGGCTCGATACAGTCTTTTAAAAGGGAGAAAAGTTTACGATTTGGATCCGTATTTTTTATCAATTGTTGAATTTATATAAAACAACATTAATTTGAAGAATTTGAATTTTTTCACAAAAGTTACATAACTGCCCGTTGCTATGACGTTTCCATAAGGCGGATATACTGTATTGGCTTTAAAGTAATTTAACTTAAACGTAGTTCGGTGACCCCGATATTCTATTGCATGATGAAATGCGCGCTTTCTTTTGTATATAGTATATATTGAATTATTTGAATGATTTTAAAATAAATACTGTCGACTCTAAAAAATTTATTATAAATAATCACATTTACGTAGTTTGGAAAATTTTGGGTCGACAGAATTTTTAAAATCATCAAAATAATTCACTTCACTTTCAGAAAGCATTTTATGAAATAAACTAGAAATTACTATCGCAAGGAAAGTGCTGCCTCCCACCTTCCACTTGACTGAAAGAAAGCGTTTTATGAAATAAAATATGGTGTCACTGAACTGTTTTTTTTTTTAAAACCAAAATATCCACCAGACTGAAACGCTATGGTAGCCATGGTAGCAACGGCGGTTACATAACTCTTGTGAAAAATGTAGATGTAGTTTTATATAAGTGTAAGATCCTTTTTGTTTTGTCAACAAGTACTAATTGTCGAAAAGTACGGATCGAAATCGTAAATTAACATAGTTTTAAGAAACTGGACTTAGCGGCCTTAACATGCATGTAAATGATTAGGGTGCAAACACTGACATAAGTCATTCAACGGGCTCAATTTATTCAACTCCTATACATTTAAATTCCTAAAAGGAATTTTGGTAGCACCATACTGTGATTTATGGGATTAATAAATGACTGAACGTATGCCAGTTTTTTTATTTTTATTAGAACCATTTAAGTGGCAATGCACCCTGTTACGCCCTACTTTATAGTATTTTACTCTGTCTAACGCCAGACGATTTTACTCGTCAAGTGGAGAGTGCTGCACTCAATGGGTTAAATATTGAATTTCCATTTAGTCAGTGTGCTGATATCCTACTAACATTATACCCAAATTAAATTTTTTTGTAATTTGTTGTTTGTATTATTATAATTGGAATTTCCGCAACCCCCCATATAAGGGTTATGTCCTCAACTATTGGATTATCATTCTGCTTGAAGTGATTCTCCAGACCTTGAAAAATTCTTGAATATTCCTCGGATCTTGAATTGTCTTAAATTTCAGATGTCCCTTAATTAAACTAGAGTACATCAAAATTGTATAGGTTATGGTTTTTGAGTGCAATTTGGAAAAATAACATTCACGAGTGAGAACTCAAAGACGACCAAAATTGCATGAGTCCCAATGACGTTGCAATTTGAAGTTTTTGGAATACTCACGAACCGATATTACCTTTATAGTAGTATAGAAGGCAAATGGTTCTTATAGGATTCCGATATCCCATTTCTTTCCAGGTCGCTGATTGTCGATCATTATACAGTACATGCTAGACCATTAAAACGATAACTTGGGCATGATTGTATGAAAAAGGCCTTGTAAAAAAAGTTCAGATGATTAGCAATGATAGGACAGACGTATATATTATTATATAATAACTACAGTGAAACACGCAATTTGATTGGTCAATAGCCGTGCAGGATCAGGCTATCGTGCACGAGAAATTAAAATGCCTTCGCGAGATTCTCAAAATGTCATTGTTTCACTGTAGTTATTTTATAAAACAATTACCAAATGGTTTTCCAAGCAAGATAGCGTGATCCATGCACTTGGGATGTTGGCCGACTTTCGGAGAGCGTAAAAATACACTCGCCTGTGGCTCGAGTATTTTTACGCTTTCCGAAAGTCTCGCGACATCCCTCGCGCATGGATCACGCAATCCTGCACGGAAAACCATTCGGTATTCCTTTAATAAATATTCCTTAATATCCAGTATTTGATTTCAGTTTTCCCACAGTGAACTACGAAGATCCCAACTACAATATTTCCATTCCTATATTTTCAATTCATGGCAACCATGATGATCCTGCAGGGGTAAATATTTGTTTTATGTTAGGTAGTATCACCTGTTAGTATTGTAGGCTAGTATGGTATGGTATATGATTTTGATATATGGTATATGGTATGGGTTTTTATTTCTTAATCTTATACACCACTATATTTCGATCCATAAAGTCGAAACTCCCAATTATGGACAAATAATAACTTCAGTCATTATTAGTATTAGCAGGGGTGGTTAGATTAGAGAGAAAAGGTCGCCATGCAGGTTTAGATTAAGGTTAGATTAGGGTCAGATTAAGGTTAGGTTTGGGTTAGAGACCCAGATTCCGGGTTAGATTAGGATTAGGGTTCAAATTAAGGCACCATTGGATGGTTCAGATGATTATCCTTGTTGGGTATCGCCGGTATTTCCCAATTTAGAAATCATGGCTGTTACCCATTGAGATGATGTGACACTGGTGAATTCAGAACCAATCGTGTCTTCATTTACCATTTGTCATACAGGCGCATTTTCAAATAATCGTTGCAGTTCCCAGACACACAAAAAAACGTTATCGACCCCATGGGGATGGATGGGGACAGCTCAGGACAACACATCATAGAACAGCATATAGCATAGCTTATAGTATACATAATTTTTTTTGGAGATGGAATTTTAGCTGGTTAGAGCACTGCACCGGAATCGCAGAGCCGTAGGTTCAATTCCTACCAGAGGACCTTGTGCTTCATTTTTCGCAGTCGTTCCTGGTCAGGTCTTAAAGTGTATATATACTCACTTGGATTACAAACCCTGAAAACAGCATTCTGATATTACCAAGTGAAATGCAGAAACCAGATCAATGAAGTCCACCTTATCACAACCCGCACGCCCGATTACCTATATATACATGAACTTAGGTTACAGCTCAACAGCTGGCCTCTGTAACTCACTTGGTTAGAGCGCTGCACCGGAATCGCAGAGCCGTAGGTTCAATTCCTACCAGAGGACCTTGTGCTTCATTTTTCGCAGTCGTTCCTGGTCAGGTCTTAAAGTGTATATATACTCACTTGGATTACAAACCCTGAAAACAGCATTCTGATATTACCAAGTGAAGTGCAGAAACCAGATCAATGAAGTCCACCTTATCACAACCCGCACGCCCGATTACCTATATATACATGAACTTAGGTTACAGCTCAACAGCTGGCCTCTGTAACTCACTTGGTTAGAGCGCTGCACCGGAATCGCAGAGCCGTAGGTTCAATTCCTACCAGTGGACCTTGTGCTGCATTTTTCGCAGTCGTTCCTGGTCAGGTCTAAAGTGTATATATACTCACTTGGATTACAAACCCTAAAAACAGCAAATTTATATATACATTTTAATTGCCATTAATTATTTGTATTTCTAGGATGGCAATTTATGTACACTCAATCTATTTAGCGTCAGTGGATTAGTGAATTATTTTGGTAAAGCAACCAATGTAGATGATGTCACCATAAGCCCCATTCTTATGCAGAAAGGTACAACAAAGCTAGCTTTATATGGACTGGGTTCTGTACGAGACGAAAGATTACATCGAACATTTCTAAATAAGAAAGTCAAAATGCTTCGTCCAAAAGAAGACGCTGATTCTTGGTTTAATTGCTTTGTTCTACATCAAAATAGGTAAGCCTTTTAGCTTAACAAATGAAAATGGCTTGTAATAAGGAGTCGCATATGCCTGCTTCATTCTTGAAAGTGACGTCATCGCATGCCATGCTTTGACGTTGCAGTAGTAGTTAGCAGGCCTCGAAAACATATTTCTCTTATACTGGCAGTCAAATAAAAAAATAATATTTCCTGTGTAAGTCAAATATAAAACGTCCTGAAACTGTTCAAAACTGATAAACTTCGGCGTGATAAACTTCAATCTCAGCACAAGATATAATCTCGATATGCAAAAATGCTTTTAGAATTAAAAAAAGGAAATTATTTGGCATGAGGTTACATAGGAGATTATTAAATGAGGTTACGTAGTAACCAAGGATAATATCATAGGAACCGCAGTCTGGGTACGACATGTGCCCTCAGGATATCGGATATAGATTATAGAGAGTGCCAAGCAGACTCACATGTCATTAGCTAACTCATAGCCAACTGCAACAGTAATCTGCTTAGAGAAGAAGCCAATTTTTTTTGTGTTTTCATGACGGCAATTGACTTTCGGTTTAACTTCCACCGAACACGTAGTTCGGTGTGATAAGGTACAGACGTTCGTGATTCGGACCTGAATCCAAGTAACTCAAATCCGTAGATCATTAGCTGACCACGTTTACACCTAACCATCCACACGGGTAAGTATGCCGGTGACGACAGATATTAAGTGTTGTAGTGGTAAGATTTACGTTGCTCCAACGAGTAAATTTGCTCATATGATTTTGAGTCACTGTGGTTGCATTATTTTTTTGCAGTGTATGGTAATTAGCATGCAGGCAGAATCTTCGAAATTCTCCTTCTATTTTTCAGGTAGTTACATCCCTACCAACGAAAGCTTTTATTATTGGCACTTCCTACACTCTCCTCTGTCACCCACACTGGCACAGACAGTTCAAGGGATCAGAAATAATTCCAATAACTTAAATCCGACCCTGCCTTACCACGCATTCTGCATTTTTATTATGTCTAGAGCTAAACATGGAGCAAAAAATCATATCCCCGAGAATTTTCTGGATGAGTTTCTTGATCTTGTCATCTGGGGTCATGAACATGAATGCCTGATCGACCCTCAGTACTCTGAATGTGAGAAAGATATTTTTATCAGTCAACCTGGATCGTCTGTCGCCACATCGTTATGTGAGGGAGAAGCAAAACAGAAGTAAGCTCGTTTGTTTTTAAACATTTATAGAATCTTCATAATTACTGTTTGATGTGCCCAAATAATCTACGGCCAGCTGAAGGACTGATTCAGTGACTTTCCACTGGGGTTATCCTAAGGCCTCCTATTTTCCAAGATGGGTATAGTTCTAAAACTTAACACGGGCAATTCTGAAATGGAGTTTTCGAGTTTTATTTGAAAATTAATTATAAATTAATCGCCCATACAGATATTTAAGGCAAAAACAAAACCAAACGAAATGTCATTCGGAAAACCAGGAAATGGCCATTCTGGACTTGCCCCAGTCTATTTAGTCCATCTTGGACTATTGTGGATAAACTATAATTCAAGATGGCGGACAGCCCATTGCTTTCCGTCAAAATATTTCAAAAACTAAGCAAGATGAAAAATCAGTAATGGAGTTTTCATTCATCATGTAATTCATACAGGTATGTTGGAATCTTGAGAGTTGTTGGTAAGAATTTTCGTATGGATAAATTTCGTCTAAAGACAGTTCGACCTTTTCACACGAGAGATGTGGTATTAAGTGATACTGATGTTGACCCTACTGATGATGCCGCTGTGCAAGAATATTTAGCTGAACAGGTGTGTGAGTTTTGTGACCTTATGACACATGTCTGATCACGGAGCACAGTTAGTTCTCGACACAACCTCATAGTATTGCCACCTAGATTCGCATGGGTCACTCTAGTATCATGGCATTTTTCGAAAGTACAAAAGCACATTTTCCTCTTCCCGGTATACATCTTTGGTCTTGGGGAGGGGGGCGTATGTCTAAAAACAATAGATTTTGGCTATATAGTTAATATTCTTTTAATTTATCTTCTTCAAAGGTGGAGGAATTAATCGCATTAGCTGAAAGCGAACATACTGGAGACAGCAGACAGCCAAAACTGCCTTTGATAAGACTTCGGGTAAATTTACTAACCAGCCACACTGTTAACCAATTAACTGATCGGTCCTAGTTAATTATTACTTTTAGTGGAAAAATAGTTTATTCCATGCAAAACAAAAATGCAACGGTAACATAATGTCGAATGTCTTTTCCTTTATTCGCTCGGCACAAGCTGTCCATGGAAAAAATCTCAACGTCTGCGGATGTTGCGAGCTTAGTGCTGAGCTGCTTGAATTAACTAGCCAATGAGAATCCCAGTGTCTTCACGGAAATGCGAACGAAATGCAAAATGCAAACGAACTTGTCAACGATGTTGACTGGTGTTGAGTATAGTTATCCCAACGTATGCGGTGAAAATGCATGCTGAGTGGCTAACGCCACGCGAGGCGGTTAGCTCAGCAAGTTTTTCTCGTGTGCGGTAGGCTTAGTGAGAGTCCGTTGGATATTTCAATGCATTTCATATTTACTGGTTTCGGCCAGGGGTTTAATAACGGGTTGTATGGTTGCACATGACGTCATTACGAGTCATTAAGGTTACAGGACACCCTTTTTGGCGTTTTGTGGAAAATCGCTACTGCGCGCTCAATATCAGTCTGATTTTAATCAAATTTTCACCAAATATTCGCCAGTGCATGCAAAATATGGTAAAGCTGTAAAATTAACAAACAATAAAATAATGTAAGAATTATTCAGGAAGATCTTAAATCGCGGTACCGTTACACTTTTGAGTTATGCTCCTGCTGGTTTTAAGTTATATTTTTAAAAATATCATTTTTATACAGCAAAATAGTTGTTCTAAAAAATTGTGTTCGGAAATTTTTGTTTATTTCGTCATTCCGCTGATATGGCGATTTCTTTGACGACTGCAATATATTTCTGAATTGTTTGTGTGAATTGCTCCTTATTATTAAAATATCCAAAATTAGAACAAAGCCGAACACAATTTTGAAACTGACGTCTTTAGCTATGTCCTGTGAAAATTCGAGAAAAATTGGTCAAAACCCGCAGGAGCACAACTCGTTTGAAAATCAGTAATTACCGTAAAATTCTTCGGGAGAAAATTGTATTTGAATATTACATTTTCAATGTTTTTCTTATTGCAGCGAAATGTATTTTATTAAATAACTCTGCGAGTTTTCAACATTTTTCGTTGAAACTTGGTCCGATAGTAGGACTAGTCTAATGCTTGCATGGAATCCAATAAAAAAATTTTAGGCAAAATTAACACTCAAATTAAGGTGTTCTGTAACCTTAAGCGTCATCTTGGTTGATTTTAACTTTCGTTAAGCCGTTTACAGCGAAGTATAGTTTAGTCAATTTAACATTTTCTGGTTTGTTTTGAAAACATGTTACTGTATTATGGAGACTTTTTAAAGGTCTTTGGCTCAATACCACAAAAAATGAAGAATATGAATTTTATAGTTGCCACATGTATTTTGAAAATCAACCAATATGGCGTCGATTGCAAACGAGCAATAGCGTTGCTGGGACTGGGGACGAGTTTTAAAAAGTGCCCAAATTAAGAAATGAACCAAATCACTAAAAAGAGCACCTCAAAATTAGTAAGTATACAAAGTTTGAAGACGTTTACATGAATACCCTTCGAATAACAAGCTTTCGAAAATCGCGATATTTACTATGAAATGTACTGTAATTTGTGTTTTTGGAACAAAAACAATCTTTTAATCAGTAATTTCACAATTTTCGAAAGCTTATTATTCGAAAGGTATTCATGTAAACGTCTTCAAACTTTGTATACTTACTAATTTTGAGGTGGTCTTTTTAGTGATTTGGTTCATTTCTTAATTTGGGTTAACACTCGTCTCCAGTCCTCTCATCAACTTGGGAATGGCTAATAGCGTTGCGAGCAATAGCGTTGTTCGCATTGCAAGAGTTGCCTGTATGTTCAGTGTTTGATTAGGTTGTTTTGTTGTGTAGGTTGAGTACTCAGGTGGATTTTCGCCATTCAATGTCAACAGATTTGGACAACAGTTTGTGAAACGTGTTGCAAATACAAAGGATATTTTAAATTTCTATCGAAAAAGAGTTTCGACTGTCAGAGGTGAGATTTAACCTGGTTCTAACCTTGTTTATACTGTAAGCACAAGGTTAAGGCACAGAATAGAGGCAAACAGAAGGTCGATTTCTTGGATTGTTTCTTTGATTTTGGCTACTCTGTGTTTTGGCGTAGCCGTAATTCGTCATCAAAATGCTGACGCCATGGTCCTAGCCAGTGGCTTATGTATAAGACGTAATTTGTCATCAAAATGTCTGCGCAAATAGGGATATTTCTTTTTTCATAATTTTATTTAGAATATAAGCTATTTATATTTCACAAGTCTATCCTACATATCGATGGAGATGATTTTGTTTTATTTAACTACTTATACTTATAGATTGTTTATTTTCATGTTATATTGTTATATTATAAACTTAATGTCTGCTTCCGAGGGAAATAGTTTGTTTTGTTTTCCCGAGAATCTCAATGTTTCCCGAGACGAAGTCGAGGGAAACATTGAGATTCGAGGGAAAACTATTTCCCGAGGGAACAGACATTAAGTGTTTTGTTATATAGCGACGAACAAAAATCAACATTCAACAACACTCATACAACAATTGTATTTCGTGACAAAAACTCTATAGTGTAAACGAGTTTAAAATGAAAAGAACCTACTTAAATGGTTTCAACAGCATATCCTGTTGCCTGTTGTGTATTTTTCTTCTCTTTTATATTCTTTATTTGAACACAAACTTGGAAAATTTTAGTTTCTAATTATCCGAGTTGTGCCGCCATTTTGTTTATTTATGTACGAGGCCGGTCGGGGCGGGCAACAATTTTTCACTTGTTGTCCGGCGGGATACATTGCATTTATCTGAAGTCACGTGACCACAAATCAGCCAATCATGTTTGGTGCTCACGCTAGCTATATAACAATACAATTTATTGGGCAAATGCTTTGAATTGTCCTTCTCTTGAAAATACCGAAACCGACAGCGAACCGAGGTAATTCTTTCACCATCAAAAGTCTGAAACCGATACGAAATTTCTGGAACCTCACAGCTCTAACGGGTGTACTTTTTTGTTCTGAGGTAATCCCCTGACCTTAACTGGAGCATTGGCCCCCTTACTCTGACCGGTAACCAGGACACCCGGGGCATTGGAAGAAACTGCGTTTAGACGCAAGTTTGCGTTCCTGCTTGTGCCTATTGCACTTTCTGGTTTTATTCAGATAAGAAAGGCAACGACGTTGGTCCAGTTCGAATTCGTCCTGAAATATTAGATGATGTTCGTGTTGAGGATCTTGTCAATGAATATCTTAACTCTCAGGAGAATGTAAGTCGCTCTTGCTCCACGTATGCACTGTACAAAATATTTCCGACATGTTGATTGTCTTCCGGTTAAAGCAATTGTAATACGTCCAACTTTTTTGGGAGGTTGGTGAGGGAGACGGGAAAACAAGTGAATTATTGCGACCTAATAGTAAAAGAAGGCCACAGAGGAATGTTGAGCAGGATTGCGAGGTTGATGATTTTCTCTTTTTAAACAGAAATTACAATTAAGTATTTTATCTGGGCGTAAGATGGGCTTGGCTTTGCAAGAGTTTGTGGACAAAGATGAGAAAGAAGCAATAGGGGAGATTGTGAAACTACAACTTCGTGATACTCAGAAAACATTGTCAACAAAGAAACTCCGTGATGAAGATATTGTGAAGGAAGTTATTAAAGAGACTGAGCGAAGTAGAGCTGAGGAACCCAGCCAGGAAGAAGAGGCGAGGACCAGAAAGGTACCTCCCATATGTTGTCTGTTTAGCCCCCCCCCCCCAAATAATCCCCCTCTAATAATAAATCCTTCTCTCAAAGGAACCCACCTCTGTCTATAAATAAGCCCTGTACTCATAAAAGTTTCGCCTCCAATAAACTTACCCTTAATACGTTCTCCTTCCTAATAGCCCCCCCTGTCAAATTAGCCCGCCTCTCAAACAATCTCCCCTCTAAAAGAAGCCCTCCTCTAGCTCCCCCCCCCCCCTATAAACACACACTTTTCTCAAAATAGTCCCCTCTTTAACGCCTTCTCAAATAAGCCTTTGCTCTAATAAGCACTCCTCTTTAAGGAGTCCACCCCCTTTTTAAGAACGCTTCCTCTCAAATACACCCTCCACAATATAAATCCTTCCTTCTCAAATAAACCACCTCCCTATTAAACGCTTCTCTCAAAAACCCTACCATCCCCATAATAGCACTCCTTTCATGTTGCATTTCATGGTTTTAGCTAGTTAGACATATCGTCCGTCGAAATGCATATTCCTCTGACGGATCGTCTGTCTTTCGGTTTGTTATTTGTGTTTTGGGTTGTATTTATAGAACACCAAGCTACAATCTTGGCGAAAAGTTAATGAAACACCTATGGAAATCAATAAAACTCCCCTCCTCCCTGCACAATGTTGGACATAGATTCTAAAAAATTGTGTACAATAGTTCATCGATGGCAGAGAGCACTATGTGCAGGTTTCTTGCTCATCTTAATCAACATTGGAAGGGGGGAAGAATAAATTAAATTGTTAATCAAACTGGATGTTTCATTAGTTTTTGCCAGGATTGTAGTTCAAAGCTTTCGTGTTGCTTTCTGGCTGCCACAAGACTGTACGAGTAGCCACATAATCACACGTGTTTTAATGGCCGGAGTATTCTATAACTGTACTTTAGTTGGTAGAGACTAGAGATGCAACTACCTGACTAATACAAGGAGCATTTGAGAAATATAGAAATTCATACTCTATAACTGTACCTTGTCTTGCTTTGGATTAAGTTTTCTCACAGACAGACTAATGCAGTGCTGTATCTGTTTAACTCCAGATATTGTTGTTTAGGTTTTAGAAGAAGCAGTCCGACAGTCTCAAAGCAAAAGACAAGATGAACCAACTACTGTATCAGATGACAGTGATGACGAGAGTGAAAATCAAACTACTAAACCCACTAGAGGTAACAACTTCGTTTTGTACCACGATGACGTTTACTTTTTAGAGTTCCATTAAGTCATTAGTCCCATTGGTATATGTGTAATATTGGGTCATTCTGAGGAGAAATGTAATTATATTTATAGTAAAAGGCCCTCTTCGTAACTGTAGAAGTTGAGGGATATCATGAGATGAGTTTTGAAACATTGAGTTCACCACTACTTTACCTGTAGCAGTGAGTCTGCAGATATCTGTTGCCATGCAACAGGCCCCAGATTCAGAGGTTTAAATGGACCGAACTGCAATGAGTTCAAGATTGTATATAACATGTGCTTTCACATTATTGTTCATGGTTTTTCTTACTTTTCTGAGTTCCCCACGGCAAACATTATTTATTTCCACATCGCAAATTCAACCAAACCAATTCTACAGCACTCGTTTCAAGATTGAGTTTTTGGTTCGTTTCAACGTCCACAAAAAAAGTTCTGAAAAACCCCTGACATTGGGAATATAACGTAGTTTATTTAAGTGCAACAAAAATGATTTCGAAGACACCATATTTACATAATTTCGTACCACCTGGGCGGGATGCACTAGGTGGAATAAAAACAGTCATGTGAACACAGACATAATTTATTCAACTCAGGTGAGTTTCCTGATTAACCGGGCTCATGTGAACCTTATAGCGGTTATTTTTAAAGAAAGGTATTAAGAGAAGATTTTTTTGTATGTTATGTAACACGCGCTCAAAACTAATGCGTATAATATCACTTGAGGTTATGACCAAATTCAAAATTTTTATTTTTCGATACGTTTCTCAATCGGCAAACAAACTTAAAAAGTGTGTTTAGTGCTTTATCTGTAAAATAATGCTAAAACGAAGAGATTTTAGATGATACGCCAAAGAGAAAATTATGTCTGGAGTTCAGTAAATTTTGCTTATATGGCTTAAATATGGCGTCAGTTTTAAAGCATCATTGATAATTGTATTTTAATTGACAATTTGTAACTATTATTTTATGTTTCTCAACCGGCAGATGCATTTAAAAAGGTAGCTAACTGTATAAACTAGAGAATAAAGCAAAAACAAAGTGATTCTGAGAGGAACGCCAAAAAGATTTTAGGTTTTGAACACTTTTCATTGTAAATACGTGACATTGAAAAAAATTGCCTCTTAACATTTGCTCGTATAGAGAGGTGTCCGTAAGGAGAGGCAACTGTAAATGTGTACAAGTCTTTCTTCAAATTTCATCTCAGGTTGTCATGTAAGATTTGCCTGCAACGGGGTTTGAAAGATGATTTGATTCTATTTTAGGACGAGGACGAGGCAGAGGACGTGGCAGGGGGAAAGAGCGAGGGAAAGGATCACGAACAAGTAAAACACGTGACACATCATGGAATACGACGTCTGATACATCGCGAGGTACATCATGCAACCATGTTGAAGTATTTGGTTTATCTGCTTATTTTGTATTTTATCAATTTGTCAGAAATTCATCAGTTTTCATAACCTATATACTTGTTTGTAGCACCGACTCGAGGAAAAAAGCAACAGATTCTGGTAAGTCATGGATTGTTTTGGCAAAGGAATTTTTGAAATTTATGAATAAAGGTTAATGTCATCTATACACCCTTGTTTAGCCATACAAATGAATATTGAAAATGTTAATGACTTACACTAGTGGTTGTAACTCTTCTTTAACTAGTTTGTATATATGAATTTACAAATTGTTTACAACATTCATGTCTATGTTGCAAAGTTGGTCAAACTAGCCCAAGTTTTGAGACACTATAAATTATTTCCCAAATGGAAAACGAAAAGTTGTATAGTACGTTGCATTGTTACAGTAATTATTTCACTACATATTTTCACGAGAATGATGAAGAAATTAATGCTGAAAAATTATCGGCTTTTATGTCCATGCAGAGCAATCAGTAGACGGTCAAATTGCTTTGCTCAGATGCTGCAGATAGCTGTTATATATGTATGTTATATAAGACACATCTAGAAAACACAGAGAAAAGCTACCAAATAGGCAAATACATCCTTGAATTACTATTTAGTTGCATTATAGACTATACTACCACGGATTCCAGATTTATCCCTTCTACCAACTTGCTGTTGACACGAATACCTTGATCTGGCTCTCTTACAAGATAATACACGAAAACCACTTATTCCAGTCACCTCCAGACAAACTAGATCTTCTACCATGCAGTACTTCCACTAAATTCAGTGTCCAATGTGTTACGCTCATGCAAGTTGCAAACATTACATCTCATATTCCTATTGTGCGTCTGTCTCCTAACTCATCTTTGTTTGTTTAGTTTGAAGATAAAGATGGAAGCATGTCCTTTGGAAAAAAAGAGTCGAGGTATGTTGAATTTTTAGACGTATAGATCTCAGCATGTTATTATATGTTTTACGCCAGATTATTTTACTCTGCCTTTGAACGGCATCATTTTATACTCGCCCGTCATTGAGGAAACGCGCCAGTGGCAATGGCGGAAAAGCTAGCCCCAACCCCTCTCCCTATTCTGTGGTTAACGGAGTACTACGTCTAATTTCCTAACTTTCCTGGCACAGATCAATGGTTTAAATGCATCGATTTCAATTCTCTTCTAAAACTGCAAGAAATTGAAAATTGTTTTTACTTAAATTTAACTTTCTCTTGTCTCATGAGAACACAGAGTGTTGTAGCCTACGTCGTACACCCTAAGGGACCGGTCATTATTTATGGCAGGGGTGGGGGCCGAAGAGAAAATGGTGGGGTAACTGAAAAATAATAGTTGCTTTAGGTGGGGTGGCCAAAAAATCCTTGCATGCAGAGGTGGGGTAAAAAAACATAACCTTACTTTAATCACACACAATACAATATATACTACTATCAGAATTTAATATGTGATTATTCTAATTTTTTAATAAAATATTATTGCTTTCCAAAATGCTGACAGAAACACCCCCCTCAACCCACCCGTAAAGGGTTATTTTTATATTCATTTACACACAAAATCTCCAAAGACTCCAATTACCAGACAAAATATATACTGCCTATATATAGGGGCTGTTTATATGGTGCAACTGCAAGCCATCCCCAGGGTACCCAAGCTGGCCCAGTTTTGGCAAGATCCTGCCTTTGTTGTTATTTCTTACTAAAGTTCACCTTGTGTATATATGGGTAAAGAGCGGGCCCAGCTATAGCTAAGTGAGATCCCGCCCCTTTAGCCCGAGATCTTGCTTCAGGAAAAGTGACCTTAAGTCTGTAGCCCCTAACCCCGGGCATCCAGCCTCACCCCCATATAAACATCCTCTTATTTCATATCTCAAAAAGTATATGTACAGTCTATTAAATTTTCAGGATTTAATTTTTGGGCATCTACACTTGATACTGCATAACTAATATTTATATCCAGTATGTGCTTGTAAACCATGTGGACAATTCAGGTAGCAAGTCATGAAATATGCCCCATGCCCCTTGTGAATCTGGAGAATCATTCCAATGGCTAGTTCACAATATGTTCATCTCTAGCCTTTGGCAACTAGCTGTTTTTCTTTACTAGAATAAGATAAAATAAGAGAAATCTATTTACCCGTTTTACAGATTAATTTAATTGTTTATATAATCATACTTGGAATTCGGATGAATATCTTTATCTTCACACTGTATAACAGCAACTTTTTCTCATTAATTTACAGTAACTTTCTAAATTCAGATATTCTCACATGGGACAAATACTTTAGTATCGTTGTATTGTTTACGAATTAAAATATTAAATTGATTTCATAAACTTCAAGAATTCCTTGGGAATTCTTAAGGAATTCCTTTAAAATTCCGTGATAATACATGTGATTGTCTATAGTAAGGAAATATTAAAGGAATTTCAGAGGAAATTTTAGAATTTAGATAGTTGCAATCATGGGTGAGCACATATTTTGTGAAACTGTTTCAAAATAAAATTGCATTTTAATTAATAAAAAAATGCAAGAATGTGAAAGAAACCAAATTATATACAGTGAAACTTTAAAGTGGGAAAGAGATAGGGTGGTGAAATACGGTTAGTGTTCTAAAATATTGAAGCATTTGGTTAATATATGTTTATGTATGGGACTAGCATATTGCACTATCTCGTGAAAAGGGAATATAGCGTTGAATACAAACTATAAAAACCCATTCATATTTAAATTTTACAAGTAGACAAATTTTAAGCCTTCAGATAACTATAATTCTTTATATAGTACCTTGCTATTGTAGGGCTAACCCATAATATAAAGGCATGACTGTTGTGTGCTTTAATTACTCCATAAGAAATAAGGGGCAAGGGATATTGGTAAATAAGTATTACCAATCAATCCTATTCCCTTTTAATTATAATGTCCACTGTGGTCAAAGCACCCTATAATAATTATTATTTACTCTCTAACAGCAGATGAGCTTACTCATCAAGGGCAATTTTGTACCTTGATGAGTAATACGCATACAAAATACTAAACTGTTTCATTACATATTTTATGTCTGAACCTTTGACATTGCAACAAAATAGGTTTGGGTGGGGTAAAAAAATTTTCTGGCATTCCACCGGTGGGGTAGCTAGAAACTTTGTTTCGAAAAAGGTGGGGTAATGATTTTTTCCTGCTTCATTATACTTTCTCTTCGGCCCCCACCCCTGCCATAAATAATGACCGGTCCCTAACTCAATGGGGTTTATCGTTGAAAAAACTCCAAAATTAACTTCTCCAAATCTTAATATTACACTCCCTGCCCCAGGCCGCTCGGTCATCATCTGACCAAATTTTACGTTTTGTCCGATCAAATCTTTTATGACCGGATATGTGACCGATAGATTTAAGCTGATTAATTATGTAACGAAACGCAAAATAATTCTTAGCATATTTTTTAACAGATTTTGTAAATTGTTGATATTAAATATACAGAAAATATCCAAATAACCAGAAAATATCGCGCTTGTAGTAAATCATTATAGTGTTATATAAAATATGAACACGGTTTTCAACTTTTCACAGCTTGCAGTATATAGCCAACGTATAGCATCTGCAATACATACGAGAAACACTGTCCGATAAGAACTTGTCTTGACCGGACATTTGTCCTTCCAAGCAAAATGATTGTCAGGCCTGCTATCCTGTGAACTTTCATGTTGCTCAGTTATGTACCAAGCATCATTCGCTATTAATTATTGTCGTTACATTTTTTGCAGGGGCAATTCATCTCGATCCGCATGGGATGAAAATTCGAATGACATGGATGAGGTACGTCCAGAGTTTTAGATTTACCTAATATGGGCACAGCATGCAGTGGGATCTTGATCTCCTGAGGAACATTTACCTCGGCAAGAAGATTGAGGAACATTTTTCACACACGTAACGTTATGGGAGAATCTCAAAAGGATTCATTATATCATACTTCCTTATACGTCACTTCCTGTTCAAGTGTTGTTCAATGTTCAGATTTGGCGTAATGTACGGTCATATTTTTCGTTGTTTTGTTTCATTACATCACGTGTCATTTCGAGTCTCTGCCCCCCGACAGTCACATTTACCCATTCAAGACCTACCTATCGTTCTATACCATTAATTTTGTACGAATCCATTTGTAAGAGGTGTCCAACTGCCTCGTCCTCTGTAATGTTTGCATGAAGTATTGTCATGGCGTAACGCGTTTACAGTCGCGCAGAGAGCGATGGGATATGCGCGTTTTGGTTAGCACCTGGCCAAACTTATAGCTGTCACAATTAACAAGCATAAGAGTAACGAAACATTTGCGATATATTTTACAAACGTTTTAAGATGATGGCGGCACTTTGCTTGCGATAGTAACGTCTAGTATTTTTTTATTTATATACCTACAGGAAGAAGATCCCTTTGCTTTTCCATCAAAACGACAACGAAGATAAAGGTTGGCATGTAGAGTAACTTGAGTCGTGGTGAGTTAGGTAGGAAATGACAAAGCAGGAGAGGTTACCTCATAACTGCAGAAACCCGCCGCTTTTTTTCAAAGAAGAAAATGGAAAGAAACAGCCCAAGCACACCGGGAAAACATTGCTCCCCAGTTATGTTTGGCGAAGGTGTGCAAACTAGGAAACACTGTTTTTGGAACCAAAATCATCGTTAGGGAACAAAATTATATTTTTGAAATTGCTGGGAAACATTTTTGCCTTCTGGGAAGCAGTGTTCAATATAACAACTGGCCATCGACATTTTCCGAGCAAAACGCGAATATGGCTGTCTATGCCGAGTATATATACTCTGCAACGACATTACGGCCGTTCATTTTGCCGCATTAATTTGAATTGTTTCTCCTTTTTCTTTCGGAACCAAAACACAATCTCTTACCGCAACCTTTAAACCAACCTGATACGGAGTATCTTCATTGGAGGGTAGCGGCGGTGAAAACACTGAGTATCTGGTTGATATTAACACTTGCAAAAGAGAGTTACAACTTAGTCAATAACTTTGCCAATTGAAATTCCTTTCAACTTCGTAATATTGTTGAGGTATATTGATCAAATAAATTGCATTTATTATATTGAATTTCTAATCAAATTTCGTAAGTATGCGAGTGAAGTAATTACAACACAATGTACTGTACAACTTTCTCTTTCACTTTATAAATAATTAATGGCTGACCCACATATTGTCAGACCAAGTTTTCAGAATTATATTGAACTCTGCTGGGAAGCAACATTTTTTCCCGGTTTCAAAGAAACATCGTAATTAGTCGCTGGGGCAAGCGACTTAAGTTTTTGTTTTACAAATCGAAATAATTATGCAAGCCAACAGTATTGGATGAAAGATGGCGGACGCTTTTCCACCAGTTTCGTAGATCTCTTAAAAATATAAGTATTTTTGGTGAACATTCAACCAAATTTTGCTGTTGTTTTGAATGCCTTAGAGTACACTTTCTCAACTTTTTTTGTCATTGTTTTAAAACAAAATATCTAATTTGATGTTCTTTGACATGTTTGCTATTTCTTGTCATTATTTATCAATATTCAATGCATTTTATCAAGTCCTCAGAAATTTCCTATGAAATTCCCTATGAAATTCCCTAAAAGCTTAATTTCCTTAAAGAAATTTTGTTGTGGACCTCGTACTGATTCTCTTTAAATCACATTTCCGACAAATCTTCCATGTCAGTCTCACACTAATAAAACTACTTCATACGAAAAAATAAACAAACAAAAGCCAGCAACCTTAATCACGATCATTTTTTTCAGATCAGCTTATGCAATAGCCCCAGCGACTAATGCTTAATAGAGCGTCTTGTTTTAAATAGTTTCTGCAAGAGTCTGTGCCCAAAGGTTGAGACATTTGGCTATCTCGCTCTCCGTAAAGCCTGACGCACACGATGCGATTTCAGTCGGCCGATTTAAGCTCGGTTTACCTGCCGATACATTACAATCCGCAGTACAATATGTTCTATGTATGTCAGATAACTGATAATGAATGCGCGAACTGATTAATCGAAATTATATGAAAATCATACAAAATCCATCGAATATTGTCAAGCCATGTCATCACAGCCTCAATTCTAGTTGGTTCAGATAACTGATAATGGAACAAATCGGCTGATAAAAATCGAACATATTAAAACAATTTGATCTGGTCCGATTAAAATCGACCGACCAAAATCGCTTCAAAATGACACCGCACACGAAAAAATGTCATTCATTTAGTTTTATCGGTTGATTGGTCGCATCGTGTGCGCCTGGCTTAAGCAGAACCTTGACTCTGTTTGAAATCGACCGTAGTCCCGAATCAGTTACAATATTCGGATTTCGGACATCGTCAATACGTTGGCACAGAACATTCCCAACGTCCACTGACGATCTACGATGAACGATCAGAGACATTCGTATCACTAGCCAACGTTGAGTTTCAACTGTTTTATTTGTACAATAATGAACATTAGCTCAGTATGTTAATATATGTTATCGTAAATAAAGAAAATTATTATAATTAATCAATGGCAGAGTATAGTATTTGGAAGCAGGCACTGATCTGAAGATTAAGTATGGATAGGGTATCCTTTTGAAACCAGCCAATTTTGGTCACACATGTCTTACCGCTATTGGCTTCATTAGCAGAAGAACTATATCCAGTGCTAGTCTTAGTCAGATCAGTAGGGGCAGGAGCCGTTTTGGTCCCGGGCTGCAATGCCTTCATCGCAAGTATTGCCATGGCAACAAAGTAGCAAACTGGAGCAAAATTACAGCAGCAATACCAGCAACCCGTAAAATAGCAGCAAAAACATGACAATTTTGCCAAGGCATCATCCCTTCGAGACACCAGTCACATTTACGAATTGGTAGAAGAAATACAACCTATAGTGGCCCAAAACGTTGCTGCAACTAGGCGAAGCAAAAAAAACACAGGCAAGTATTTTGATTACAGGGAAATGGCAATATAAAATTTCTATTTTCTCATTTGAAAGAACTTTTGAAATTATATGTTAACTTCTTTTACCGATTTTTCATATCTTGCTTAGTTCTTGAAATATTTTCACTTGAAGTAATGAGATGTCCGCCATCTTGGACAAATTTTTATCTCAACGGTAGTTTTGGTGACGTCACAACAGGGATTAACCATATAAAAGTATTCGTTGCTGACCAAATATTGATTGGTAGATGTTGTGAAGGTTTTCAGCGATCTTGATATTTCGAAGGGCAGACAGAGTATAGTTTTGAGTGCAAAATGATCGGTGGTTGTCTAGATAAAATATTGCGTGACCCCTGTTGTGACGTGCATGCATATCTACAAAAATTGAAGATGGCGGACATTTCATTATTTGTTGAAGTAAGCAAGATATGAAAAAACGGTACAAGAGTATTATTATATATAGTCTTACAAGTTCTTTCAAATGAGAAAATAAAAATATATATTGCCATTTCCTTTAATTAGAGTAATGGTCACAAGGCGCAAGGAACCTATAGCTCTTCGTCATGAACGCCCCTTAGCATGCATTCATAATACATCTGCCGTCAAACCATGTAAAAGCCAATTTAAACTTTCGTGGGGTTCAATCTATGATGTAACCTTAATTAAACTATTATTAGTCTATGACTATATATACAACATCTTCGTCGTATAATTCTTTTCACAATATAGTCAACCACAGTATACGAGCTGTTCTGCAACCTGATTGGTTGAAATACAGTGTACTCACTGGGTATCATCGTTTTCGCAATGAGAAAAGGAAAATATTTAGTATCATTAAAACTTTATCTAAACACGAAATTCATTCACATTATGTGCTTTTCCATGGAGCCATGTACAATAGAAATATTCCCAAAGTATTTAATGGTTCAAAAAGTATCTATTATCTTAAATGTTTTTGAAAGTTGCTACCGATGTAGCATTGATTGATTGCTTCAACAATTATTCGCTTTAAGATAACAGTACAAGAAAAACTATCAAAAGTTTCGACAGGTTAGCAAAATGCATTTAGTATATAGAAATTGGTTTAAAAACAAGTTTTTTTAAAAAATTAATACCGAAACAACAGCTAGCGAAGAAAGCATGTTCATTGAGAATACAAATTGTTCAGAAAAAGTCGCAAAATTTTCAGGCCAAGTCGACGATACGGATTTCGGCCGAACAAAACTGTCAAAACATTGCAACAGAAAATAATATATTATTGCTGCAGTCAATGGCTATGATAGACTATATTATATAATAAAACAATTATACCATTCACTCTCGTCATATATGGATAGCGGACTCGGTGCTACGCACCTGGTATATCAGCTCATGTATGACAACTCGTATACGACTATAAGCCCATATACGACTATTAGCCCGTATGCGACTATTAGCCCATATGCGACTATAAGCCCATATACGATCCCATATATCTGCTACTTAGGTTTTAATGAATTCAGCCCAGTTTGCGAATATGCCTTTATCATGTGGTGACGTCATTACACTGGACCAGAACGAGGCTTCGTGTGACATGTGACGCCACTCATACGACGTAATGTTAACACTGATCAAGACAATCTGTTGTATAACTAATATCATCAAGGCAACACCAATAATCAACGCATAACAGGAACATACGAATACCAAGGCGGAACTAAAATAAAAAGAAACGTTGGCAAAAAAAACAACCCAGAAAACCAACAAGAAAGGTGGCCTGGGTATCCTGTTTCCCTTCCTTAAAGTGCCTATATCATGGTTTTGGAGTTTGCATATCTCGAAAGTTTAGCGTATTTTAAGACACTGCAATAGATTTTGTTATTGAAAAATTTCAACTTGATGGATTTATTAGTTCTTAAAGTTACCGGACATGACGTCAAAAGGAGAATTGCAAATCAGTTTTCCTTTGTATCATTGCAACAAAATTCTCTTTTTGACGTCATGTCCGGTAACTTTAAAGCTAGATTACAGTCCATTCTGCGCATGTGCGGGCTTTGTTTACATTTTTTGTTTTGGTTTGGATCCACTTCAATTGTATAATATGAAGTATAGCGGCTATGCACTATATAAATGGAGTCCGAGTCAGGAGTGGAGTTATTAATTTTTTTAAAATTGTCTTCTGAAAGACAAGCAATTAAATATTTTGAAAGATCATGAATGGAAGATATATTGTTGATCAATTCGGCATTTGTTTTTTGTGTGCCTCGTTGATGAAACATTCAGACGAGACCGACAAAGCCGACCCAAAGGTGCGAGTCACTGTATTGATTATATTAATGTTCGGCATTGTAAAATAAACTTTGGAAGTGTCAAAGTAATCACTAATTTTTCCTTGGGGTATTTGTTCGTCAAAACACATTGCCAAAGTCATTGTTGCTGTCATGGCAGAAGCACTCGGAGAAAGCTTTTCGCTGGAAGAATTGGAAACGATATGTTCATGTCGCGGCTTGCTCCAGCGGGGCCTCCAGCTTCTGTCTTCGATAGAGTATGGGTATTTTTTGCTCAAGCGCGTGCCGCGAAGAGGATTTTGATACATGTATGAACAATCGAAGGACAGATGGTGAGTTTGTATTATTGCTATTAGTTATGTACTGTTCGTTAGAAACGTGCTTCACATGTAATCTTATTGTATTTGTTCATTAGTTTATAACTTTATATATGTTTTGTTAGTTTATACGCAAAAAAATGTGGCCTGAGCAATGGTTCATTTGAGAATATGTAATGTTGTTCACCGCGATAGTTCACTCAAAGGATAATGATTATCTAACAATAGCTGGGTAAACTTTGTTTACATATTTTGATACTTTGCCTGCCAAAAATATACACAGACTTATATTTCTGAAAGCTTTAACCACTGGCTTTAACACACATGATTTGTTTTATTAAATACCCCACATAATTATGCATATCCTTGCCGGGTAAAATATCAAATTATGTAAAAAGGCTTACCTGTCTATATACAAGTGTACATAGCTGTGAAAATGCAGTAATTTGGTGGTAAGAAATATCTGTGTTTCACTGTGCTTGAGTCTTTGCATTTAATTAATGATAAATATATTCATTTCAGAATCTTGTGGAAGCAATGGATTTAAATGCCCTTTGAAGAGCATTTGCGTTAGAGCTTATACAGCATCAGCCAGCTGCATTTGTCAATTTGGTAAATGGTGAATTGCCAGGTGAACTGCTTCAACCAGACCCAGCTACGGAAAACCAGAAAATGCCTCAGAGTATTGCAAATGTGGATGCTGTGTTGCAATGCCAACAAAATGGGTAAACAAATGCTGTACACAATCAAGACAGCCTTGCATAACCCTAGCCCTCTCTTCCCACAGTGGCACAGTTAGTACTTGATGGAAATGTTCGATCTGGACATGGCCATGCATTAGAGCGATCATTGAGGGAAACTTTATTATTCATTAATCCATTTTACTGCAATTATCTCCTCATGACAGGGAGGATCATTTTAAATATTTTGAAAGAACTTGGGTAATTCACACCTGTTAAGGCCCGTTCACACAAGCGATTTTAAACTTTGATTTTCTCCTTTTGGCATTTGTGTTTTAGCAAAATTACAGGAAACATTACTTTGCATGGCTTTATTATTTACTCTAACACATACACCAAAAGAAGAAAATTGCAGTTCAAAATTGCTTCAAACTTATTATAAGCTTTCTCTTTCTACTAACCACAGCAAATGTTGCTAACAAATGAAAGCCTTTATCATGTTAATGGTTAAATGTTTATGAACAGTAATATTTCATTATATAAAAGACCAGTTATCAAATACATTGGATGTTCAAGCACAACATTTTGTATTGACATTGATTTTTTTATTCTTTAAAATTACTCCTTGCTCCTTACTTCAGTCCTGAAAAGTGTATTGCTGTGCACCGAAGATCAATGAATCCAATATGGACACCCTGGCTCAGTATTGGGGTCCAGGAGTTTGTAATCAGATTTCCTTCTCCTAGGTGGATTGCCTTTCAGGGATTATGAGCTCCACCTAACAGAGCACTTTGTTTTAACTGGCAGACACTTGTCTACAGTGATCAGTTGAATTTATACTGATGGGTTTCAACAAGTTCTTTGACTGAAGGAGGAGGGACAGGGGTTATGTTAGGAGCGATTTGCCTTCGGTAATCACTTGCAACACCATTCCCCATATCTAAAGAAGACTTATAATTAGTTTTAAACTTATTCCTGTTTAAATGCTGCTGACCAATGTGTTTTAAAAACACTCAAATGGCTTTTTTCAAGCCACATTTTGATTTTGTTAATGTTCATGCAAATCAAAATTTGGCTTTCCAAAAAGCCTTAAGTGCTCTTAAAACACATCAATCAACATGCCTACAGAATGATCAAAATATTTGTTTGAAAATGTGATATGAAGAATATGGAATTTCATAATGAAAAGTGAAAAATAAAAGTCACTTTTTTTCTCACTAGGATTCAGGAAAGCATAAAATGTTATACATACCTTCATTATAAGTTGTAGGATGTATTCGTACTGCCTAGGAGAATCTTTATATGGCTCCATTGCTGTTTCTTCCCCTTGCTGAACATATACTGGCAATGGCTCATGTCTGCATTGTATTGTTTCATCTGGCTACTGATCCGTCTGGGTTTCCACAGCGCTATAAGTGCACAATAAAATTTTGTAATGAGGAAATATAACAACATTAACATAACTGAAATATCCAGGGATATGTGTTATGTGCTTACCACAATTAAATCCGTCTTGATGTTTCGTATACAGGCTCGATCAGCATAGTATTCGCGAACCCTCGTCACTTTTAATTCCAGCTTCAGTTTTGAAATGATTTCACCGACCAATAGCATCATTAAAGTACATTTTCGTTGCATACCTTTTCGCGAAATGTTTTTTTTTCGATTTCCTGATGGTTTTGGCGACCAGCATTAGAAGGATTTGTCTTTGAAGTGGACGGCTCTATTATATAACTCTTGCGAGTCGGCCATTTTGAGCGCGCATATCCGAATAAGGACTGGGGAGCACACAAAATCAAAACAAGTGTGGTGCTCACATTTGTTTACATTTTTGACACATGCGCAGAAGGGACTGTAATCTAGCTTTAATATAATTAAAGTGCTTATGTCACAAAAATTGTTTTTTGATATTTGGTAGAGGACAAAAAGTTAGTTAATAGGTTCTTTAGCATTTTTCGGTTTTCTCTTTTCATTCGCGAGATACGAGGCTCTAAACCTTGAAAAATTGGCTTTTAGCGAAAAATTGTCGCGCCCGAGAAAAAACAGAAAAGGATCTGGGGCGAGAGCCGTGTGACGTAGCTTAAGGGGGGCGGATCTAGGGGCGGATCTAGGATTTTTCGTACCTCAGTCAAAATTTTTTGGCGGACGGGGCGTTGTCAGCGCTGGGCGTGGTCTCGACTGGGCGTGAAAAACGTATTTAGATTAAATTTAAATTGATAAACTCAAACGAACATTTGATTCTTATCCATTGTAAGAAAAACTACAAATGCACAAAGATATATTGATCCTATTCCAATACAAAATTTTATGGATATATTACTATGATATAGTACATTAAAACTCAGCAGAATTTAATAACATGTTTGCCTGTGGATTAATCAATCGTCGTCATATTGATACTATATACCTATAAGTGTATCATTGTAAAACTTGTAAAATCATATGGCAGCAAATGCATTAAATTAAGGAAATATACTGTTCTGTTACCAAAAACGCAGAACTATACAAATAATTGCTAGTAGCCTCAGCTAAAAAAAACAACCAGATATTCATTAACTAAGTCAAACACTATTACATTAACAAGATATAAAGATGTTATGTCAAATATTAATAAACTAGTTACATGAGAATGGCTACCAGTCAATGAGCTTTTCAAGCTAGCTTAAATATTTCGCATCATCATGTTACACCAGACCAATGCGGTCTAACAAGCCGTGTCGATAGGCTATGGACAAACAGTATTCTATAAGGCCGACATGTTGTGTGATCGATGCATAAATATATATAAATGTTAAATAAAACTTCACTATAAACACGAGAATCAACAAATGCTTACAATGTGGACATTGAATAAAACATATTTTAGCTTCTTGACGCGAGAATTATGCTAATACAGCACAGCGAATATTAAAATATCATATGTCAAACAATCATTAACAACACCACCGACGGCTTTGGTTCTTCGGTTTAATTAATATAAACTAAAGATATATCATTATAAAACCATAAATTTCTCTACCTTATTGCAGTGCAAGCTTTGTCTTTCTTATCTCGGAATGTAGCTCTCTGCGCCAAAATTTCTAGCGAGGCTTCTGCTTGTGTTGTTGATGGCGCTCACTTTGCCGTTCAGTAGCTCCTCAACAGAATTTGTCCATGAAGCATCGATATTCTTCTCAAGCTCAGTATACAAACGTTGTAGAGATTCTAAATTGTTTGCCGCAATCGCAAACTGAATATTGTCGAAAATGTTTCCAGATATCGCTGGCAGAGATCGCTCGTAAAAATATAATAGTAAAATTTCTCACATGCCATACGTTCGAAATAGTAAACATTCAGGAGGTATAAAACACCAAATGCCGTGTTGACGAATACCCCACGCTGCGAATCCGTCGAAAATATAAGCCAATGACAGTGCAGAATATTTTTAAATGGTTCAATCAGAAGACTCATACAGAGCCCCTGAATCTGCAAATCCGTCAGGCCTCCCCACAGATCCGTCGCAAATGGCTGTAACCATGGAAATGAGCGCGTCAGCCAATCAGATAGCCGGATTCAACCCCCGAATCCGTCAACATTCATGCGTAAGACCGCTGTTCGTGACTGACTAACATTACTTTGCCGAAGCTATGCCGCAGCATGAAACGAATAACTGGACTACGATTCAAAATTTTAATAACTCGATCTACTGGCCGCTATAGATAGCTGGAGTCGAATTTTTTTAATTAAGTAGGCCAATTTTTACTTCAGTCGCGCGACTGACTTGACGACCCCTAAGATCCGCCCCTGAATTTAAACATGGATTCGAACAAACACGATAGACAACAAAGGAGAAAAGAAAGTCAATCAACCCAAACTTCTATTGAAGTTTTCAAGGGCAAGGCCAAAACCAACAAAGAAAGCATACAACAAATGCAAATTCAAATGATTTATTTCAAAAAGGCTCAAAGAATAATAAGTCTGGTAAACTTGTTTTCATCGCCGGGGACTCAATTCTACAACATGTTCACGGCTGGGACTTGTCTAACGATAAACAACGTGTATCTGTAAAGTCCTTTTCAGGGAGTAAAGCTGAAGATATGCAAGATTACATAAACCCATTACTACGCAAAAGCCCGACGAGATAATATTGCATGTAGGCACTAACAATATTAAAGATAACTCCAAGACGGCAGAAGCTAGTGTTGCTGCGGGTATCTTAAACCTCGGAACCCAAATAAAGGATAGTCTACCATGCACTAACGTTTGTATATCTGGCATTATTACCAGGAAAGATAAAGATAATATCCAGAATAAAATTAAAACTGTAAATGACATTCTTAAACGGGCCCCTGACCAAAACAAATGGACCTATATAGACAACACTAATTTAGATTATACTTGCCTAAATAGAGGTGGCCTAGCACTCTCACTAGAAATTATAGTAATCACTTTAGTCGTAATTGAAATAAGGCATGGCCAGGTGCTGTAAGGCATACCCAATTTAACCCATATTTCCCTGATTTCAGGGGTTTCAAAATGGGTATGCTTAACATAACCAGTATAAGTATATTGACGAAATTAGGATCATATTAGCCGATGAATGTCTCGATATTCTTGCATTAAATGAGACAAGATTGGATGATACTATTAATAACCAGGATATGTACATAAGTAATTATGATCTTATTAGGGTCGATCGTTCTAGAACAGGGGGAGGCGTCTGTTTATATGTAAAAACTGCCCTTAACTATTTAGAACGAAAATATCTGACTAGAGATAATCTCGAAGCTATATTTGTTGAGATTCGCAAACCTTCCACCGCCCATGTATTGTCGGTACTATTTACAGACCTCAAAGTTGCCACAATTGAGCAATTAGTAAAAACAATAGATGATGAAAATAAGGAATTTTACATACTTGGTGACTTAAATGCTAACATGCTTGACACCTCAAACAATGCCACAAAGAATTTAAATTCAATCATGGAATTATATCAATTATCGCAAACGATAAACACACCCACCCGTGTGACCACGACCTCATCCTCCCTAATAGACGTTTGTCTTACTCCCACTCCAACTAAGTCAATAACATCACAAGTAATACCAATTGCCATTAGTGATCATTACATGATCTTCGTTGTTCGTAAAATAAATATCCAGCGCAAACAAAACAGTCACAAGAAAGTTGAAATTTGAAATTTAAAATATTTTAATGCTGAGAGTTTCCAAGTTGACCTGCGTGGTCAGGAATGGGAATTATTAGATAACAATCTCTGCGTTGATAAGATGTGGGACACATGGAAACACTTTTCGTACAAGTTCTTGATAGGCATGCCCCAATCAGGGAAATGAGTCAGAGTTAACCAAAAGTAAACCAAATGTTCCTTGGCTCACTAGTAAAATTTAAAAAACAAATCCGCGAACGCGATCGCCTTAAATCTCTTGCTATTAGACATAAATCGGAAAATTACTGGAACGCATACAAAACTTCTAGAAATCGCGTAATTGATGCATTGCGAGAAACAAAAGCAGCATATTATAAAGAAGAATTTAAGAAAGTCAAACATGATCCCAAACAAGCATGGAAAACTGTGAATAAAGTCCTAAACCGTAAACAGGAAAGTAGAGAAATAAATTGTCTTGAAACACAGAGAGGACAAATTTCACATCCAACGGAGTGAGCGGAGTGTTTTAATAATTATTTCACCAATATTGGTCTAGATATTGCCAAAAATATCGACAATGGTGACAGAAATTTCAAGGATTACATCACGACAACAACTAGTAGCTTTAATTTTCAAACAGTGTCTGAATCGAATGTATACAGACGTCTGTTATCTCTAAATCCTCGTAAATCTACTAGAATTGACAAAATCCCTGCTAAAATTATTCGCATTGCTGCTCCTGTAATTACAAACACCTTGACAAAAATTTTCAATATGGCCATTAAAGTGCAACTGTTCCTTTTGAGTGGAAAATAGCAAGAGTCACTCCCATATTTAAACTAAAAGGCGCAACACGTTCTGTCCCGGAAAAAATTTCAATAAAAACAAGTGTCAACAATGTTCGTGAATATGCCGAGAATCCTAGGGACATCGCAACACTTTTCAACCGCTACTTTGTATCAATCTTCTCGAGTGATCCTATCAATATTGTTAATCAACAATCTATATCCGAAACCACTGACACTATTTTTAATGACATTGTTTTGTCGGAAGGAACAGTGCGCTCAGTTTTAAGAAATCTTGATATCAACAAAGCGCATGGTCCGGATGAAATCCCAGCAAGATTACTTACCGAAACTGCATACCAAATCGCTCCATCTCTATGCCTTCTGTTTAACAAGTCCTTAAAAAGTGGACTAGTTCCTCGAGAATGGAAACTTGCCAATGTTGTACCCATCCACAAAAAGGGGGATAAAGATCATGTAGAAAACTATCGGCCAATTTCTCTTCTCTCACTTGTCTCCAAAGTCTTAGAGCGTTGCGTGTTCATTAGTATCAAAGAACATGCTTTCAGTCAAATAAATTCTTGCCAACATGGCTTCATTTCAGGAAAATCATGCGTGACACAACTAATTGAAGTTTTAGATACCATCGGCAGCCAATTAGATCTCGGAAAGCAGATTGATGTGATCTACCTGGATATGTCAAAAGCATTTGATAAGGTTAGTCACGTACGTCTTCTACATCGTCTCAGAGAATTTGGATTCGGAGGAAATCTCTTAATGTGGTTTAATTCTTTCTTGAAAAATCGCCAACAACAAACTACTGTTCTCGGTGCAACATCGACAGCACTACCAGTGACATCCGGAGTGCCACAAGGTTCCATTCTTGGCCCGCTACTTTTCCTCTTATATACCAATGATCTATCCTCTTCCATCGTGAATTCGAACGTAGCAGCTTTCGCTGATGACACTAAGATTTTTAAAGTGATTAACTCCAGGACCGATGCAATGTTATTACAAAATGATCTTCTCAACTTTAATTCCTCCTTATCCAATGCTGGTCTGCATCTTAACACATCAAAATGTAAAACCCTCCAGGTCACCAGGAAACACAACAAAATAGATTTCCCTTATCAACTACAAGATACCATACTAGAAAAGACTGATTGCGAACTCGATTTAGGTGTATGGACGAATTATGATCTCACTTGGTCAAAGCAAGTTACACAACAAAGTAACAAAGCTAATAAAATGCTGGGTTATATTCGAAGATCAACTTTCAATATTCGCGAGTTTGCAATTCGACGAACACTGTACCTTTCTCTGGTTCGCTCACACTTAGGATATGCCACCCAAGTATGGGCGCCACAAACAGTTGAGTTGGTGAAAAGAGTAGAACGAGTTCAGAGGCGTGCAACTAAATATATTTTAAATGTTCCCTTTATTTGTGATACAGAATATAGAGACCGACTCCTTGCAACCAGTTTGCTCCCTCTCAGCTACTGGCACGAATACCTGGATGTAGTATTCTTCTATAAGGCAAATCACGACATTTTTAATATTGATAAAATAATTCTTCCATTTCCTCAACCTCAGGGTAAAAGACAGACAAGATCATTTAATCCCAACTCGCACAAATATAAAATTCCGACATAGAAGACGTCAACCTATGAAAAATCTTACAAAATCCGAACATCAAGAATATGGAACACACTACCCAATTATATTACATCCAAAGACCTAACATTTTCAGAATTCAAGAATCTTCTTTTTAAGTACTATATTTTAGCATTAGAAAATACATACGATGTTGAGGATCCCCGGACATGGAAAAGTGTGTGTATAAAATGTAATTCCGCTCGAAGTTTAATGAACTCTCCATTGACATGCTGCTTTTAGACAAATGTAATGACTGTTGTTCAAGTATTGTCTGTTGTGTGTGTTTAGTATACCTTGTAAATTGTTTCTGTATAACTATTGGGGCCGCTGTAATTGGCAATAGCTGTTGTGGTTTCCCAGCCAATGAATGTATAAGTATGATGGCAAAGTAAATAAATAAATAAATAAATAAATATTTAAAAACGGCCGACGAAACTTATTAAACAACTATCGCCCCATTTCTATCCTCCCTGTAGTAAGTAAACTTTTTGAAAAAGTATTATACGAACAACTCCAGGAGTATCTTGTTACACAGGAGTTGTTGTCCCCTCGTCAATTTGGTTTTAGAAAGTTTCATTCTACAGTCTCTGCTCTTTTAGATAGTATAAATGAATGGTTTATTAATATGGACCGTGGTTTGTTTAATATAGCTGTTTTTCTGGACTTACAAAAGGCGTTCGACACCATAAATCATGACATCCTGTTAACGAAACTTGATCTTTATGGCCTACAGAAGCCATCATTAAACCTTTTAGGATCCTATTTAGCGAATAGAACCCAAATGTGCTCCGTTAATGGCGCTCTGTCGGGCAAGAAGTTGTGATAGTCACCCGTATAAATAACAAACTTTATTTATCTTTACAATCTAAGAGTATAACACAACGTGTTTACAATGTACGTCCATAAAACAATATGGCGACTATCGGGACTGCTGCTGCATGGTCAACATTTCGCAGGCGCTCACAAAGTTGGTTACATGTGGAATCCCTCAAGGTTCAATTCTTGGCCCACTCTTATTCTTGATCTACATTAATGATCTGCCTAACAGTTTGGAGTACTCGTCGACAAGAATGTTTGCCGACGATGCGACTCTAACTGTATCTGGCAAGTCAATTCAAGATGTAGGAGGTGGCAATAGATCATGACCTTACCAACGTTAAACAATGGCTTTCTGCAAATAGATTATCTCTTGATCTAGTTAAAACTGAATATCTACTAATAGGATCTCGGTACAACATAAATAATTTACTTGCTGCTCCAAATGTATTTGTTGGTGATACACCAATTAAAAAGGTCAAAGAAACAAAAGCACTTGGAGTTCGTATCGACGAGTTTCAATTGTGGGATAAGCATGTTGATAAAATTGCTAAGAAGATTTCATCCGGAATTGGGGCGATCAGAAAGCTAAAACCTTGTGTGGATTATAATACATTAATTTGTGCTTATACTTCCACACCTAGATTATTGTTGCGAAGTTTGGGTCACCATTGGTGCCACTCTTTCTGATCGACTCGAGAAACTACAAAATAGGGCAGCTAGAGTTATTACTGGCCGTAAAAACGAACACAGTCAATCTGAACCTGCTCTAGACGAACTGAAATGGAAACCTTTAAGTGAACGCAGAACACATTTCGTAGCAAGTCTTATGTATAAAATAACTCGCGAACTGGCGCCAAAACAACTAACCAACATTTTTCAAAGGACGCTTCCTCTTATTACTATAATATGCGAGGCACTTCCACCAAACTCTTTTTGCCCAAACCTAAGACTGGATATCTTAAAAAAAGTCTTAGTTATAGAGGAGCGAAATTGTGGAACAGCCTTTCTGATGAAGCAAGAACTGAAAAAACACACTCTTGCTTCGTTTAATTCATGTATACGACACCTGGCCAATTAATTAATTAATTAATTAATTAATTAATTACGTTAATAAAAAATATTGCACAGTACTAACATTAATTTAATATGTAAATAATTATATACTCGATGTAATTGTAAATGTATTGTAATTGTTGTTGTAATGGAAATGTATGACCATAATTTGTATTAACTGTATTTTTTAACTATTTAAATCTACGCCCCCCTTGGAAATCAGCCTTCGCTGTTGGGGTTAGCGTAGTTAAATAAAGTTTTACCTACCTACCTACCTAGCATGACAAAATTTCTGGATGCTGATTGGTTGAGAGGAGTACAATTATTTCATTAATGATTTTCCCACAACAAACAAAAAGGCGGAAAGGTATTTCAAACACAAATGTGAAATTAAATTGCCCTAGAAGAACTACAGGGTGTCCCCGAAAAAGCCAAATCTATTGAAATAACGTATTGTTAGAATTTGAATGCCTCAGCACTCTGCTGAATGCAAAGATACGTAAAATATTGACAAGGGTGCATATATTAAATATTGACTGATTAAGAAATTAAAATATCTTTGTAAAGTGCACGATTTTCTGCTCTTGGGAATTTAAAATAGCTTCTTAAACGGTTTCTTTATGCAAAAAGATTACTTACGTCAAGCTTTAATGCACGTGTGGGTCCAGCAGAGTGCTGAGGCATTCAAATTCGAACAATACGTTATTTCAATTGATTTGGGTTTTTTGGGGACACCCTGTAGATGAAAATACGAACAAGAGCACCAGATTTTACTTTAATGAAAGAACTAAATGAAAATACGAACAAAACTCTGGCAGGACTGGACTTTGGCGAGAGAGTATGATGTTGACAATGAGAAGTATTCAATTTTGTCACTCGCCCCGGAGGCTCGTCCAATTCTGGCAAAATTCTGGCAAATACCTTTACTAATTACACCAATACACATATTAAGCAACAACGAACAGTACTAGTTGGGGCTTCGGTGGCCAAGTGGTTAGCGCACTTGCCTGTCACCTCTGGGGCTGCAGGTTCGAGTCTCACTAAGTACCTTCTCAGTGCGACTCGAACCCAGTCCCCATGTGAAAAGAGTAAAAGTCAACGCTCTGCCGAAAGCCGTGGGTTTTCCCCGGGTACTCCGGTTTCCTCCCACAGGGAAAGTTGACAGGGTGGGTTAGGTAAAAAGGGCCCACAGTAATTGGCATATGCTGTTGTGGGGACCCTGCCCTAGTTGGCAAAGCTAAATAAATAAATAAATAAATAAGTACTAACAGTTCCTACACACAGCACGATAAATACTTAAGAAGAGTGCGACCAAGTATGCATAATATCAAAGCAAGGTCATAAATGGTGGAACAGACGACCGTATTTCTATCCCACGTACCTTGACCTTTTCTGGTTTGATTCCTTCTTAATAATTATTGACCTTAATTTAACGATGGACTTTTGGAATGCAGAATATGTGTACATGGATGCGACATATGTCCAAATCATATACGAAATAGTGTAATTACCATTGAGAATGACTTCATTAATAGAGGATGGGGGGCTAAACAGAGAGTGGGGGCTTGCCATAGGGGATAAATAGGGGGAGTGATTCCGCCGGGGGTATCCTGCGCTTCTTATAAGGCTAATTATATTAGGGGGGACTGCATGGGGGCGGCTTAGTCAAGGAAATACGGTAGTCAGTTTAAGTCTGAGTGCCCAAAATGCAATTTGCTGTGGAGCAAAGTTCTCAGTTCTATATGCATGTGGGCGGATTAAAGCCGCTTTCGTTTATGTTCGGACGTGCCCTACTCTCAGATATTCAAATCAGTGTCGAATGTGTCGAATTAATCAATGTGTTTATTAAATCACAGTCCTTGTCTAGAGTTGCAGTCCTGATGTATCGTGAGCAAGTATTTTGGTTTTTGGTTGTGGTGATTGGGTTATGTGAAAGCCTCGAATTCAATATCTCGGTATGTGTCAAAGACAATGACTGTACTACCGATATGGTATTTATTATTTCGTTTTGATGTCTAGTAAATATCTCATGCTAAAAATACTGTGAACGGGCGTTTAATATGTGATGATAATTGATATAATTATCTATTATTCAGTTCTGCCTTAAAGTTCGACTAAATGTAACGAGTTTAGTATAATTTCCCTAATCAGAAAAACGTAATGCTGCATGATATATAGGCTACCTTTCAGAGGTAGGCTACGTACGACGGAAGGGAAATATATATGTTGTAGAATAAATTTGCTATTTGACTTGGTTTTCGCTAGGTCTTATTAATTAAGGACCCAAGCATGAATATAAAGAATGGCCCCCACCCGAAAACATAGAAAATGATAATTATCGTTGTTTTAATATTTCCTTTAATAAATGTCTCAGATTTCGCTTACAGCCAAATATCCGCCCTCCCTCCGTCATGCTTCACGGAATTCCACTTCTTTGTTTGCTCTATGGTCTTTTCCGTCATATTAAGCAGATTACATTATGTGTGTGCTTGATCTGGGATAATATTGGCAAACGTGTACTCTACCACAGTAAAATAGCTTGCCTAATGTTGCCAATTCCAGACACGTCAAGTTAGTTTCAATACAATCGAGGAATTTATATTAATTAACTGTATTTGTGACTTTTCGTTTTCTGTGAGCGAAGCGAGCTTGCGACAGCAATATATGAGCTCATATGAAATCTGCAATGGGATTCTGCACGCGCACTGAATCGTCTAGAAAATTAGCCCCTTAATTCTATGGGAAACAATATACGAATTAAGTACAAATAAGTCACGAATAAGTGAAGTAAAAAACAAGCCAGATATATAGTATTACATTGTTCTGGATAAAGCCTAGAAATTATATATGCAGAATAGGAAGGAAAAAAAACAAATACAACTTTCTTTGTGTTTTAAGAAGTCATCGTCAGGAGTGAGGATTTCTCGAAAATTTCGTTTTCAGACGGGCGACTGCCATGACTTTTTCGTGACAGTACGGGTGGCGTAAGCATACAGCGTGCGTTTCGCTTTGACGAATTTCGTGCTCGTAGTCATATTGTTTAATTAATACGCAACAATAAGAACCTTTTAAGACCACGTGTATTTGTGCAACATGTGTCAGCCCACATGTTGACGAGATGCTGACATGGCCACACGTTGACAACACACAGATAATTCGTTAAACGCCGAGCCAACTGCGCGGAGCGCCGTGCGAGGGTTCTAATTCCGCCCGGCTATTTACTCCCGGGGAAAGGAAAGCATTAGGGATGACGAGCCGGTCAGCTCCAGATTGGCAGCTCGACCAGATTGGCGAATCTAGAGCCAGATACAATTTCAGTCTGGAGCTGGAACCACAAGTTTGTAAACGAACTGCTTTGGCCGCTTAACCGCCGATGGAAATTGAATTTAATTTCTTTGAAAGACCATTATTTCTTGTCACATTTCTCAGTGCGTGATGGAAAATCAAAACATTATTCCGTTCCGTTCGTCCATGGTAACTTGTGAAAGATCACTGTTTTTTTCTGACAAAGGGGCTGGTCAGCGGTCGAGTAGATCGCAAAGCTCGTTTAAAACCTTTAGTTATTTTTGTTGCATGCTATATACTGCATGCAACTTTAATATAGCTCTAAATATTGTGTCGTGTTAAGCGTACCAGTCTCGTGGCAAATTCGTAAAATTGCGACAAATACCGAGTTTTTCCGACGAGCATTTTAATGTGATGTGAATCACTCTACATAGACATTTTCGTCGAGGAAAGGCAAAGAAAAATATATTGATTGTTCGCGGAAAATTTATATAATTGAGCTCATTAAAAAATAAATCAAGCTAGGTTTAAAGCTTTGCTGTTTTTAATTTATCTTATATTCTGTTATTTGTTGTGATTTGATGATGATGATGATGATGCTTTTTATTGATCCATCTTTAGTTTAAAAATACAATGGATTTACAACAATGTCTATTAAAAGAGAAGAGCACAACTAGGCATGCGATAATATTATTTACAAACTATCGGAAATTTTTACTATACAATTTGGAGTAAAAATTTAAAAGTCTATAGGAAATTAGTAAAAAGTTAATAAAAATCAAGTTAAGTATTAATGCAACCCTTGTCTCATTGCTCGTGGGATAGAACTATTTCTGTGCCTTTCAGTGCCTGAAAAAGGTGGGTATTTAAATATACCGTCTCTACGCCTACGATTATAGTTATGTTTATTTATTTTGGAGCAGTTTCGCTCGCAAGTATGAGTAGTCCAGGACCTGTATATGGTCTGCATGCGTTTCATTTAGCACAGGTAATCTCAACTGTTTTAGGGTAAAATGACCAGGGCGGTCAACATGGCATATGTGCCAAAACCTGAAGCCGGAACGAAAGTCCTGAAAATGACCCGCCCTGAAACGGCAGTGTCGACATAGCTCTAACTTCCGAAAACAAAAAGCGATAGTCTTTCTGAAGTGCTTATAGTGTTTAAAACACGTTCTACTATAGGGTCCAATATTCTATTTAACCAAAAATGGTGCCAATTTTCGTATTTTTAAACAAATTTGTCCAAAACTAAAAAAAAACCCAGAAAAATTGGTGCTTAAAAACACCGCAAAAAAAAAGAATGCAAATTTTCTTCTCTTGCTAAAACAACCAAATTTACATAAAATTAACAATACATTTTATAGACTGTTCGGAAAAGGATCAAATAATGCAAAGTAGCATGACAGCTAACAGTGAAAATATGTTGGTTTAACCAAAGGCATCTCTGATCAATTTATGGAATCTATATCAATGTTTCGATTTACCGAGACCATGCCAATGTTTCCATTTATCGAAACCATGTGAATATTTCGATTTATCGAGACCAAGTCAATGTTTCGATTTATCGAGACCATGTCAATGTTTCGATTTATCTAAGACAATGTCATGGTTCGATTTGTCGAGACCATGTCAATGTTTCGATTTATCGAGACCATGTCAATGTTTCGATTTATCGAGACTATGCCAATGTTTCGATAATTGATTTATCGAAACCATGTCAATATGTTCCGATTTATCGAGACCATGTCAATGTTTCGATTTATCGAAACCATCTTAGTGACATCTAACATAACCTAAATCAACCCCTTTTTAGCAAAAAATAATATTCTATTCAATTTAACATTATACACATAAATAGAAAATATATAAAGAACAATGTGTTTAGGTGAAAACTATTATGCTCAATATCAAAATTATATATATATATATATATATATATATATATATATATATATATATATATATATATATATATATATATATATATATATATAAATTAAGGTACAACAATCAACAAAATCCACTAGGCATCTTTATTACTAAATAGTTTCGTACCACAAAATGTGGCACTCTTCAGATAAATTGACCAATTGATAAATTGGTCAATTTATCTGAAGAGTGCCACATTTTGTGGTACGAAACTATTTAGTAATAAAGATGCCTAGTGGATTTTGTTGATTGTTGTACCTTAATTTAAATATGCTCTGGTTTTCCATTGAGCACTTTACCAAAAGTTTTTATAACCAACGAAACCAAATCCTTGCAAACAAGATCTGCCAACTCTCTATGCCACTTTATGTTAAGAGATGGGTAATTGATTTCCTAATGTTTCGACAGCAACGAGTAAAGCTGCTCGATGACTGCTTTTCTGACTGGAGTGACGTAGGATCTGGGGTGCCCCAAGGTACCAAATTAGGGCCTTGGCTTTTATCTTAATGATTGACAATTTGGATCCGCAGTCAGTAGATAGATGGAAGTTTGTGGACGACACAACAATCTCTGAAACTGTTTCTAAAAATAGTGCAAGCAATATCCAAACCGCTGTTGATTACGTCCAAAAATGGTCTTCCGATAACCGCCTTAAACTTAAGGTTACAGAACACCTTTGAGTGTTAATTTTGCCTAAAAATTTTTTATTGGTTTCCATGAAAGCATTAGACTAGTTCTATTATCTGACCAAGTTTAGACGAAAAATGTTGAAAACTCGCAGAGTTATTTAATAAAATACATGTCGCTTGCAATAAAAAAAACATTGAAAATGTAACATTCAAATTCAATTTTCTCCCGAAGAATTTTACGGCAATTACTGATTTTCAAACGAGTTGTGCTCCTGCAGGTTTCAGCCAATTTTTCTCAAATCATCACAGGACATAGCTAAAGA